ATTTGAGGCCAGGCCCAGCCTTATATCTATAGTATTCGAGGGATCCGCGTGAAACACGAAGGTTGCTGACGGCGCCGTCAACAGCGAAAGTTGGATGGACTAACAAACATCCAGGGCCCACAATTCTCCATTTCTTCAGTTCTCCCATGGCTTCTCGTCTATAGTGCAGTCCAGTTCTCGAGCTTGTCTGCGACAAAATCTGCATGTCAAAATGCAGCGGGAAACGTTCGAGATCTAGAGCAGAATGAGTGACCGAGTTCTCGGAGGTCCAATTTTACCCAACTGTGGTCATATTTTAAAACTCTCTGTTGATGATATATCACTATCCAAACACGAAGAACATCATGGACACCGATCAGGGCACTAGCCTGCACAGCCAGCATCTCGAGCTCCTCAAGCCATGAGAGGAGGATAGAGGTGGATGCGTAAAGTTTGTATCAGGGCGGTAGAACAATACTGTCAGGAAGCTGAGATGAAGCAGGTCCGTCCACGTCGAGCTCGTTCAGACTTCGGTTTGGAGCAGCCCCATTTTACTGCAACATTACGGGGATAGAGCTTCTCGGAGGCATGTGAGACAACCAATACTTGTTAAGTATGGGCCGCTGAAAGTTATACATCTTTCAGCTAGAAATCGCAAGTGTTCAGGCATGGAGATGCAGGGTATAGTTCAGAGTACGACGACAAGCTCCAAATGATTAATTACCTGAACAGTGAGCAATATGCCAAACGCTAGTAAATTACAGGGTCTGTAAAAGACAGTCCGTGATTACAAAAACTTGGATCTATTCTGGTGGATGAAAACTCGGCAGTTAGGCTGGTTGATCAAACCAAGCCCATGACAGTGTACTCTTCCTGGAGGTAGCATGATAAGTTGACAGCAGTAGCTAGTTTCGATCTTCAGATTTATCCTTCAGAACTATCCCCACAAATTGGTGCTGGTCTTCATATCGTCTTCTGATTTTATAGAAAATTTGAAGTTTTGTATGCGAAATGTGCATTTTTGGGGAGATTTTTGCCCTGAGGGAATGCAAGTATTGGGCAGATTTGGATGATCGAAAGTCAAGTTCTTGAGAGACAAAGACTAGAACAAGGTGTTGATCTTGCATGATTTGGAAATCTAATATAATCGAATGCTGAGGTCTATGATCTAGAACCACTTTACGATCATATCTCTCTCTCTCTCTCTCTTTGCGTCTTTCGTGGATGCACAAAGACAGGTAGGTAGTAGTAATACAAAAATCAGTCTAATTATTAAAACGCGGACTGATTGATTGTCTAGAGTGGGCAAAGCCCTGAGTTGGATACACAATTTGGTGCATGTGCATCTCTCAGATCGAGAGATCAAGACTCCTGTCACTTGGACTGGATGCAGTCGCACAAGCACAATCATACGCGTGGCTCTGACTTGGTTCACAAGCGTCGTCGTCCGAATTCAAGAGGAAAGAAGTCGGCCCAGGTGGAGACAAGAGTTCGCCTGCTGATCTCCGGGCCAGTCATTGGGCCTGCAAAAAAGGGGCCTAATATAGTTGGTGACCTTCACGAGCTGATATGATTTCGGAAACTGGCAGCAATTGCAAGCCGTGGACAAGAGCAAGCGATCAGGAGTTCCGTAGTTTGCTCGCTTGGCTTGCTTGGACGGGGGCTGCGGAGTGGGATAGCCACTAACTGCTGCACGATGCTAGACCTGTAAGCGGAAGGTCTCGAAGTTGGTGCATACGGCTCATGGCACTGTTACCATTAGAACCGGGCTCAGCAGATCCTCTGGACGATATCTGATCTGCTCTGCTCTGTTATGTTCCTCCTGCTATGGCCATTCTTCGACAGATGTAGATAAAGTACGGTCGACGTGACTGTGGCTCCTCTTCCACCTCTCCAATGCAAGCGACGCTCTGCGTGAAGTTGGTTGTCTGGTCTATTCCATGCCAATCGGGTACCCCTGCGAGGACGGCAGGACATCAGGACGGCGAGCAGGGAGGAGGCAGGCAGTCATGAGTTCGAGCAGGGATGTTGGGATTTAGAGGGGGACCGTACGACTGACTGGGAGAAGTTGGGCGAGGCAATTTGTGTGCCCATTGTAGCAAAGTGTAGTTCTGGTCGCTTACAGTGGTCACACAGAGCATAATGTGTGTCAGCTGGTGCGGGCATCCGACCATCCAACCATCCATTCATGCGCAGGAGTACTTCACGGAAAACCTCGCCGAGCTTGCATGCTCGCTTTCTCAAGTCCACTTTCCACATGTCACCTATATCGAACATGTCACGCAATCCTGCCTAGCTAGAGAGCATAATGGTCATTCTCACTCGATCCTGATGCCGGTGCATAACCACCACGATTCATCGTGCTTTCGAAAATCGGTGGGATCGGTGCAGCAGATTTTATGTCTCTCAGTAGCAGCACACCTTTTCCTAGATCTGCAGATTCGACATGAGATCCAAGCGACCACAAATTAAAGAGAACGAAGCGGTTTTGTGCAATAAGGCTGAATGAAGTCATGGAGAGCCTGGTGGGAAATGTCTCCTTGACACTTTGATGGGGGCCGTAGCTTTTCGCAGAGAAGAGCAGAGCAGAGCAGAGCTACATTTATAAGCCAGCTTTCTGATAAAGTGGCAAATGTGGACACGTTAGGAACAGTCCGAGTTTGGAACAGCTGATAAGACACTGGCCATGGCCACTGGACTGAATGCTCCAAGAGCAGCATTCAGTCTCGAAGGAAGCAAGACCAGTGAAATGAAGTTGTGTGTCAACATGAGCAGGGCCGTAATAAGGAAGCTAGAAAGTCCACTTGATGGAAATTCGCAAAGTCTGAGTAGTCGCTCGGTCACTGTGCTCGTAGCTGGGGCCTGGGCTAAACTTACGGCGAAAGCAGTGGGCCAGGCCTGAAGCCAGATATAGTAAGCTGCATAAAAGCTTCATGTGGAACTCAGGCACGACATTCCAACATGTACACCAATCAAGACGACAAAACCCCCCACCACCACCCCTGCCCCGCCCATGGTCCAACTCCCCACATACAGAGACGGAGAGAGGGGAGTAGGAAGGATGACGGTCCCGATGACAAGCCTGCATTCGTTTGCCCACTTTCTAGAAGGCCAAGCCCAGCGTTGCCACTTCGGAACCAGGTTGTTGGAGAGCAGTTTAAATCGGTCGATCGAGCAAATAGATCGATCGGACCGAGCTCTGGATTGGGAACCGTGTATCCTGTCAATGAACTTGAGAATCTCGTCGACAGAACCGACCTTCTGCAGTTGCAGTCTGTCGAAGAGGCCCATGCCTCGTCCCTGCTCCATCCTGTCTTGGTCGTGGTGCGGTCATGGACATTCCGATGACTTTGGGCAACATGAATTAAAATCCCAGCGGCAGGGAATATAAAATATGGGAGCGTTTAGGGAACGTGAGAATTCCAGTAGAAGACAAGCAGGCGAGGGGCGTTGAGTGGGATTCGACAATGCCTGATGCCCTCGCGAGGAAGAGCAGATCCATGGACCGCATCAGGCAGCTATTCTGGTGTGGCATTAAGCATGAAGATATCTCTGATCCATGTTGGCGCCATGTTCACAGGGCATCTGCAGGGAATCTTCCAGCATCGGGCGGGCGGAGCGACCGGTGGGGTGGACTTCTCAGAGCCATAAAGATGATCTTTACATGCAGGGCTGCGTTTACTTGTCCTAGATCGTTGCCATTCGAGTGCCGAGGCTTTTTGCATGTTCGTCGCGATCTGCTCTGCAACCATGCCTACCGGCTTGATCATGGACTTCATGCGTTGACTGCCACTACTAGTCTTGCGCCTAGTAACAAGCTCTTCAGACATCTTTGATGTTTCCATGCAACCCATCAGTGAAGCTCCACAGCAGCCCAGTAACCTGCACAGTGCGCCGTGCTCTCACTGTATACTGTACCTCATAGATCGTTGGAAGTTGGAACTACCATGGACACGGTTTCCCGAAAGCTCGAGATGAAGTCAGGAATTCTCCCGGAGCGAAATTTGAAGTATTCCTTCCTTACAAGTGTAGACCCAGTGCAGCAGAGCCCTCGGCCCAATAATCGGATCTAAGCAAAGTTGGTACATATGTTAGCACGACTTCTCAGAAGAGGGCTAGATTCCACTGCTGCAGCTGACTTCCTCATGGTAGCTGTGAAGATTCTCGGCGTGGTACTGAGATGAGATGGGAAGAAAACCGGAGGCCTCGTCGATAGAGCAGCACGAGAGGAGAGGAGACGAGAGGGGAGGAGAGAGTGGGACACCATGAGGTTGCAAATGTAATCCACAGCTTGTCAGTTGACCGCAGCTGTTCGGGCCTGCCTGCCTGCCCGTCTGTCTGCCTGCCTGCTAGCTAGCGAAGGAGAGACGACTTTGACTGAAGCAGCTATAACAAGATTGTGCTGCTGATGTAAGGACTGATCCATACGGTAACAAAACTCTGCGAAGTGATGAAAATGGTCCGCCGCTACCGACACCTGTCCTGACGAAGACACGAAAATTCTGGCAGTTCCGGTGTCCGGTGTCCGATGGGGAAAAGGACCGTGCTCAGAGTTACTCCGCGGTCGACAATTCGGTTCTGCTCTATGGCGGAAGCGCAATCATTGCGGCCGTAAAACAAACCATTCGGTCCTGGCAGTCGGAGCGGTAACAAGTTCATGGATGACTATACGACCGGCACCAGGACAGACAAATGAAGCTGTGCGGTGCTTCGAGCGAGGCGGAGGAAGCGGTTGCTGCCTGCCTCCGCACAAACTAGCTGCGATTTGAACACATTATCCCATAATCCGGCACTGCTGCGATTTCGAGTCGACAAAAATGTCATGTTAAAAAAAGAAATAAACCCAAACTTAAACAATGGGACAATGGGGAAGTGGAGTTGTAAATTGCATCTGATCATGTCACGTCAAAGGCAAGATGACGTCTGCAATGTTTACTGTGCACACCACTCCTTCTCGCTGCCCTCAAATGGTCGTGTGGGCCTCTCATCATCCCCACAACACCATCTCTCCTCGCCAGCATTCTCTTTCTCTCTCTCTCTCTCTTCTCTTCTCTCGTCTCTCCCTCTCTCTCTCTCATTATGGCACAGAGAGCTGGTTCCTGCCTCCGATCGCCGTGTTCGCTGTCTCTGCGTTCGTCGTGTGACTTCAATCAGGCAGTCAAGCTGCATGACTTTTCAGGAGTCTCTAGAAAGTGTGCAACGGGATTGCGTTTGCAATGATAATAACATGATCAGCGCTGCTAGCTGATGGAGAGTGATGCTGCTGCTGCTGCTGGACACTCGCAGAAGTCCTCTCTGCTGAGTGAAGGCAGTGCACGTGGGCAAACCGGATCATCCGGATTGTCGAGACATTACGCTACAGAGAGAGAGAGAGAGCGAGAGCGATAGAGCTTTTGGGAAAAGGTTGCGCCTTCTCCCTAGCCTCGTCAATCATCATTGCCTCTCCAACCTCTCGCCGTCCGTAGACAGACAGACATATTCTTCTGCTGGTTCTCATCATCACGCCGAATGTCAACCTTCAGACGGTGGACAATGGTAATTACAGAATTCTAGTCGAGAAACGCACATGGGATCCGAAGCCTATCGCTACCATGGCGCCACTTCACAGGCGCTTGTGGCAGTGCTCCAGCTTGCTCAGGGAGACCGCCGGTTGCTCCAGGCTTGAGTCCAGTCTCGATGTCCTCCAGAAGGCACCCAGGGACCATAGCAGCACCTCCAGCAGCAGCAGAGTGAGCGGGTTCAATTTCTTGAGCAGTTTCAGAATGCTGCCCTCTCGCGATTCTCGAGCTCACGTGCCGCACTGCGTGACTGCATTCGACTGCCAAGGCTTCAAGGAGCTGGCTTGGCCTTTCCTGCGCCAGTCCAGCGAGAAATGGCTGAGCATCCATCACCATCCTAGGGAGCAAGCGGTGATGATCATGAGGGCGTCCGGGCTGACCCACTTGAGACCGAGGCCGGACGTGCACGTGAATCAGCAAGCTCAACCGCCAGGTGCTGCACCTCCAACTTCCATCACATCGATCCAAACAACCTGCACCATGGTAGGTGGAGTGGTTGCCACGCCCCCACACACTCCCAGCCCCCAGCAATTTGACGCATATTTCAATCTCGGATGAATGCAACATCGCCTGTGAACCCCGCTCACTCTCTCCTCTGCATTCAATGTCTCGCTCGAGTCCATGAACGCCCAGAATCTGATTCGAGTCCAGATCTAGAGCCCCGGCGTTGAATTAGTGATGGCTGTCTGCTCCAGGTCGTTGAATTCGTAGCGCTCCTGAGTCCCGTCATATATCTCTCAATATTCAGTGACGGACCAGCTTCAGGGACGAGGGAAGACAGTGATGATCAGACCAGGAGGTAGAAATTGCGCATTGCTTCCATCCTGAACCGAGATGTGGTTGTTCTGCGCATGAATTGTGCAGGCCAACGGAACAGAAGTTCCTGCGCACACGTACACCATCCCGGCCGAGGCCGAGGCCGACGACGGTGATGCGATGAAGCCCAGAATTCTGGCGGTGCAGAAAGTGAAGCCGGCAATGTCAGGACTGGACGAGTACCTGCCGCTCTCGAACCTGGATCGGCTGCTGAGCTCCATGTACCCGCAAACCTTCTTCGTGTTCGAGTCGACGAGATGGAGATCGGTGGAGAATGTGGTCAGTGCTCTGAAGCGGACGCTCGCTGACGTGCTGGTCCATTACTACCCTTTCGCCGGAGAGATGAAGGATCCGGAATGGGGAGTGTACAAGATCCACTGCAATGGCGCCGGCGCCGACTTCACCGAAGCGTTCGTCGACGCGTGCATCAAAGATCTGGACTTCGTCTTCCCGAGCCCCTCGTTCGCGTACAACTTCCTTCCGACTCCGAATGTTGCTGCGCACGTCCTGTGTCCTCTCTCGATCAAGGTAATCAATCAATCCCGCAACCTCTCGTTCGACGAGCTCCAGAATTCCCACCCAAAATTAACAATCAATCACCTCCTTCATTTCCTTCCCGATTGCCCGAGTGCCGTCGTCATGCATCTCGACGAATAGCGGCATTGCCATCGTGCTTCACATGAATGATCGACTGACTGACTGGTGAATCGCCATGGAGTGAGGAATTTGTGACTGTCAGTAGCTCACAATGTCACCAATTAATGAATCAAATTGAATGAATCATCGAATGAATGATTGAAGGAAAGAAGGAATGAATGCGTGCGCAGGTGACGAGGTTCAGATGCGGAGGGCTGCTGCTGGGATTCAGCTTCCATCACCAAGTGGCGGACTTCCAATCGTACCTCATGTTTCTGCAGGCGTGGACGCAGGCAATGCGCGGGCAGGCGGTGACGGCGCTGCCCGAGCACGGGCGCGGGCTGCTGAGGGCGAGGCCGCGCGAGCGGCCGTGCCGGAACCACGAGCTCGAGTACCGCGTGCAGCAGCGGGACGAGGAGCGGATGCCGCGGCCGACGACGCCGCGGGGCGCAGGGCCGGTCGTGTCCAAGTGCTTCCACCTGAGCAGCGGCACCATCGAGGCGCTGAAGCGCATGGCCACCGGCGACGGCCGGTTCGGGCCCTTCTCGGCCACGGTGTGCGCGACGGCCTTCTTCTGGCGCTTGATCATGCGCGCCAACGGGTACCGCGCCGAGCAGGTGGCCAAGATGGCGTGCTCGATCGACGGCCGCAAGCGCATGCTGGAGCCGCGCCTGCCCGACAACTTCTTCGGCAACGTGATCGGGCTCTCGGTCTCGGCCGCGCCGGTCTGGCGTCTCGAGACCGAGCCGCTGTCGTTCGCCGCGCGCCTCATCCACGACAACATCCAGCGCGCCATGAGCAGCGACCACTTCCGGTCGCTCATCGACTGGGTCGAGGCGCAGAAGCCGCTGCCGGTCAACCCCAACTTCAACATCTTCTCGGACCCGGTCATGATCTGCTCCAGCCTCATCAACGCGCCGCTCTACGACCTCGACTTCGGCCTCGGCCGCCGCCCGGACTTCGTCGGCTACGGCGCCATGCCCGACGGCGTGCACAACGTCCTCTGGCTCCAGCCCAGCCCGTTCGGCCGCGGCAACATCCTGGCGCAAGTGCACCTGCACGCCGACGCGCTCTCGCGCCTCGAGCGCGACTCCGAGTTCGACCTCGTCGCCTCGTCCGACTGCCTCCACTCTCTCGCCGCCCTCGGCCCTTCGCGCGGCGCTCGCTGCGCCCGAGCCTAATCCACTCGCGCATCCCCTCGCCCATCCATCCCTGCGAGCGAGCGGCTTCGAATTCCATTCCACTCGGACCCTTTGCCTCTGCTGAGCTGAGAAGCTCGTCGCGCCGCAGGTCTCTCGATCGGTCCACTTTCACTTGCCCCTTCCCTGAATCCGATGTTTTGCACGACATCGATTTTGAATCTACGGAACCCGAAACAGTCCGTGATCAGGTCCATCGGCTGTGTGCTGGCACTGAAGAATGAATGCGCCATGAGGCCGGCTTGAGTCTGCCCGAGACTGGTTGAGTCGTTGTTGTCCACCAGAGCTCATGAGCTCACCGACGGCGCATGAGCACCGATTAGAACAGGAAATGCAGCCACATCTCCGTTCGAACGAGAGAGAGAGAGAGAGAGAGAGAGGAGAGAGAGGCCAGAGCCGATGGAAATCGACGGAATCCTTGACGCACGATGTCATAGAACGCTTCTAGGATTTTAGCGCCAATAGCTAATTAGTGCAACTGCATCGGAAGGCGCACCTGGAAATTTTGCGGTCGAGTGCTGGTCAATTTTCTACGCGACTCGAGGCGTCTATCGCTTCTGGACATCAGGACCGAAGGTCTCAACCGGTGCTGCTGCGGATGCGCAGATACATTGTCTTCTGAGCAGTGCGTGAGGCAGATTGTCGACATGTGATGTGCTCAAATGTTGTGAAACAAGTCGAATCCTCAGCTGACAGACCTCCCAGTTCATATTGAACAAGACCGGTCGTAGATCCGTGACAATTGTACAGGCATGTTTCGGCCGGTCTGCGACTGAGCCTCATGAATAACAGTAAAAGTCCCAAATCGCCAATGGCGTTTGAGTTTCCCAGACTTCACACGTCGATCGATCTGAGAACCATGCATGATTTTTGAGTAAATTGGAAGATGCGCGATGTTTACTCCACGAGTGCAATCGGTGTGTTTGTGCGTCTTTGCAAGTATCTCTCAGTTGCAACCGCTTGGAATTGGTCTGCTCAGCTGGCCTTGGGCATGGGAGCCGCAATCTGACATCGCAATGGCTTTGAGCTAGAGTTTCCTAGTCTAAGCTGCACCAAACATCGATCGCGACCACATGAACGCTCGATCGACGTGAAATTTTCATCTCTGATTAGATCCAGCTCCAGTTGCCCGGTCTTATATCTGACCTGCACGCCCTTCATCGATCGAAATCATTTGCTTCACGGACTTGCTTGGACATGGATGAATCGAGAGTCCGCAACCTGTGGGAATTTGAGAATATACGACCACTGCAGAAACCCGTGGGCTTGGAGAAAACGGTGACAGTGATCCTCCATCAGGATTGCACGTCTCGTTCACTAGAGCGCATCTCGAATACCTGTTCGAAATTCCGGCCTAGTACATACCGCAAGTCAATGTATGTGTTTTTAGATTTCAGTGCTTCTGAAATACCCATCTGTAAATGTTCGCAGTGTGGTGCCTAAATGTTTGATTCAGCTGTTCAAGGCCCCCGGGCAGCTGGTCTGAATTTCTGTTGTCTAGATCTCACCATGCATGTCCAAAATCTGGAAGCGAGTATTGGGTCGCAAAAGAGATTACGTTATAAAGAAACTTAATCGAGACGAACTGAGATGAATGCTCGATATGTGGGAATTTCGAGACTGAGTGAAGGGATATAAGCGAACTCACGCCCCGTCCTTCCCCGGTTGGTGACGAGCACATCAGATAATTCCTAGGTCTGACACAAACTGTCGAAAACAACTCAATTTCGTTCAGACCAGGCTGACCGTGTAGTGAACACTGCCTGCAGGTGGTCACGATGGAAAGCTTGCTTTGGATTCAAAAACATTGTCAAGGGTTCGATTTCTCGTCGTACCCAACAATTGAGAGTAGATGTACTAGAGTCTGGTCGAATTCTGGCCCAATACCTCTGGATCGGGACTTGGACATGGCATGCCTTGTTCACAAGAGCTTCAATGAAGTATGCCATGGCTGAACCGGGTTAGCCTTATGTGCAGAAGAGAATAATTAAGACGCGGGGATATGCTCACGGCGCGAGACTTGAGGGAACTGAAATTGAAGCCTATGAACAAAATTTGGAGAAAGGACTTGAGTCTCATGGTACTGAGTAGGGTCAGAGAAAGGCACGTGCCTTGGGGTGAAATCATGGCAACTGAGTTCAGAAGCTGATCCTGTGATGGTGTCGCCGCACGAGTGGTGAGGTTATCCTTCGTGAGGATTCAGAGCTTGGGTCTCCGAGTCATGGGACGGGAATCTTGACGCTGAACAGTATGCGCAATGCCCGTCATCTGGCCCCACCTTCAAGGCCATTCTTTCCACAATACAGTATTGAGGAATCTTACTCGTGGTACGACTTGAAGTTCAGGCTTCCACTGCACTCGTCGACAAGGTAAATGGCTGGTTCTAGTTTGACCACGCTCGTCTGGTTTGCGTGGCTGCCAACCTCAAAGCCTGCTTAATTTCGGTCTAGCTCATAAACTCATAACAGCAAAAAGAGAACTAGGACTTGTACAGCCAAGTCTAGGACGAACAATGTCAAAAGCGAAACCTGAATCTTTCAAACCTTTTATCGCCGGAGTAGCTGGATCGTCGAAAGAACTTTCTGCCATCCTGTTTCGGACACTGGTCATGGAAGAATAGCCTTGGACAAGACTTCCAAAAGCAATCTAAGTTCTTTTTAAAAGATTGTTGCTTTTCTTGTGGTCCATGTCTACCTGACTCCGTATTGTGACCAACTGAAGTAGCTGATGATCAGGAAGCCTACGATCAGAACCATGAACATGAACATGAACCTGCCAATTTTAGGCTCCCAGTACTATGGAATGTTGATAAGAAAGCTCCCTATGCATCAAAAACTGAATTCCAACATGAAGGGGCGGATATTCCATTTCGGACCCTGATGATTGATTGATTGATTGATTGATACGTGAGCTGGAGCTGGTCGGGCTCTCAAGGCTCAAACAACACATTTGGGGCTGTTCAGAGAGCAGTTTGCGATTGGAAGTATGTAACAGCAGAATTTTCAAGTGGAAGGTCGACCATCGAGTTGGGGCGCCCTCCTGCAACTGAAGCCTCAAGATATTAGAGCTGATGTTCAGACGTCGAATGATTCACGTACTAGCCATATTCACATGTGAGCATGGCCATGATCTTTCTTACAGGATTCTGAGTGTCCTGCTGATTGCCGTCCACCTTTGAGCTTGCCCCTGATAATATAAGAATCAGCAAGGGGGCGAAGATCGAGGAAGTGCCCCCTATGATCCACAAGACAGACCCTGCAGTGGTTTGAGGTCCCGTGTCCTTTTTAACCAACTGAGCTTTTACCCAAAGCCAGGTGAATTTCCCAATTATCGTTCTTCGACGGGAGAGAGAGTTCTCAAGCGGATTCTCGACGAAAAGGGTGAAAATAGGCGTGTTTGTGTATGTGTGTGTGAGTGGGCATGGGTGCCCGGGCTGCTTGCAAAGCTTTACGACGTAAGAGCACTCAATTTCCGGTAGGTGCCTTTTGCACCAGATTCTAGAGGGGAATAATAGGACAAAAGATGGATGAGTGATGAAGATCCTGTTCCGAGTTCACTCTCTATGGGTTTCATAGACGTGTACAATTCGCAAACCAGCATTGCGTTGATCGAGGAAGATCCGATTCGCAAGCGAAGGTTGTGGGCAGAACTGTGATAGACGATTGCTGGTTACTATGAGGGAAAACTCGAGCTTTCAATTTGCCCGGAGAAGGACGTGTGGACTCTCATGGTAGATATAGATATATGCATATATAAGACTTCGGGTTGAATTATAACGGTTGCTGAAAAGTTGGTGAGATTTGCCGGCAACATATTCAGGAATGGAGCTGATTTCAGAGATGGGATTTGGCTTGACAGTACCTTCGCTTGCCTCGAAGGAAGAATCTTGACAGGCCTGCATGACTACGTGAAAACTCCATCATGAGCTCTGGACATGAGCAGAAATGCAGGAGAATATATCAGATCCTACCTATCGAGACATGAAGCCTGACTTTCACTACTCCAGACAGGTCTGGATAAGATCAAAAAGAGAAGTCGATATGTGTCCTGGACAGAAAACTTTAATTTCAAATTCGACGGATAGTAAAGCACGAGAAACTAAAACTTCGGCAAGAATATATTCAAGAAGAGATGAAAACTTTTCTCAAGTCTCAGGACAGTGGCCAAATAATTAGCCTTAGGCAGCAAAGCACATACTGAAAGTTGGCTGGCGCTGCACTGCACGGTGAGGTGTGGAAGGCCAGACGAGGCTATCGTCCAGCAAGAAATAATAAAATATCCGAGGTACTCTGTGGAGTCACTATTTTGCAAACATCGACACATTGAACGAGGAAAGATTGCAACGGTTGGGCACAGTTCTAGTAGCGTATGATTCGGCCCAGACATGTCCTGAGCAGACCTGAAAAGAAAACCAAATGAGAGAAGTACAAACTTTGGGGGTAGTATAATTTATATTCCATGCGGGTGGGTTGTTGTATCATTCAAAAAGTGAATCAAAATTCACTTCGAGGATCCAGAAAGCGTACAGTGCAGTGGTTAGAACAGGCGGAGATGAAGAAAAGCTGAGTTACAGATTTGCTTACGCCGACACCTGCGAACAAGTAAGTAACTGCAAGAATTTCATACGCATAATATTCGCGAGGCATAGGACAGACAGCATGTTTGGCACGCTCGGATGAGCTAAAACGAGCTGATGATGAAACTGTGAGAAGATGCGATGATCAGGTGGTGGTCAGGCGGCCAATACCATGACCTGTTGGCAGCCGTCGTGATTTGCCGAACCGAGCTGAAGTTATCCGAGCAAGGCATTGCTCGGATCTCGTGGTCTCCGAGACGCCTCGGAAAGTCCCTGTAACCATGCTCCGCACAGAGATGCTGCATGAGTCACGAGAATATTTCTCAGTTGACAACCAGAGCATGTGGGAATATCCTCATCCTCATCATCGTGTTGGCCCCGATGTTTCTCTCAGGATTAGCCCCGAGAGTGCCTGTGTCATATTTGCAGTTACAATATCACCATTGCATCACTTCCCCAGCCGCCTATGGCAGGCGAGGCAACAAATATCTCAGCCTTCTCAACCCTATCACCGCATCAAGAGCACATCAAATGTTGCAAGATAATCCAAATTCCTCATCGACCCATGTTCTCAACACCATAACCCAACCCGGCTCAGTTCTCAAGTATTTTCGACTGTCAAACGCTTCGTGCGCCAAATAGTGACCCACGTCTTTGTCCAAATTCTCCCTTCACATCTTGGTGTTGTACTTCAGTTTCAGCTGACTCCATTTTTTATGGTGACACTAGAAAATAAGTCCCTTTACAGAATTGTCGCATTCCACAAAATGGAAAAACTTTGTTACAAGACCTTGACTGGATCACGTTTGGTTTGAGACTGAACGAGAACCGGATTCTTCACATTCGATTCTCGTTGTATTTGTGCACAAGGTCAAATTGAGAATAAATTGTTCGCAAGCAGACATCGCTAGCAAATATTTGTGGGAATTTTACTATATACATATATTTATATAGCATTTATACAGCAATTTTTCTTCGACCGTTAGATGATCGGCCGGCGCATCTACACCGTCGATTAATAAAAGTGTGGTAATTTACACAGTTTGACACGAACTGGGTCGGGCCTGCAGAGTGATACAGTTGGTCGACTGGTCGCCGCTGTCTGATGCATCGTCTGCCCGAACACATGCCTGCGAATCTTACCGGGTACGTGGTCAGAACTTGGAGGGTGAGCTTTGGATTCGGATGAGGTCCTGTACTGTACTGCACTGCACTGCACTGGACTGGACTGGACTGGACTGGACTGGACTGGACTGGACTGGACTTTGCATTGGGTACCTTGTCCGA